ACTATGATCACAACAGCCAGGGTCCACTAGGAATCATAAAGTTTGCAACTTTAAAAAAACCCAGCACTTCAAAGCAACGTCTTTCAAACGAGCTACGGATGATCGAGTGACCTGCGTTCCTCTTCTAACAACCATCCTTCGAGTCACGATGTACGATAAAGATCATTCCGGTGATATACACGAACAAAAGAAACAAGATAGTTACGTCAACGAACTCAGTCAAGGGTCGCAGCTCTTGCATGGGCATAGGTTCTAGTATAAAAAGACACACCAATCAGACAAAACATCACAAATAACTCGTAAGATTTGCTAACCGTGATCATCTTCTGACTTTTGAAAAAACTGACTGGCAGCTAAACTATCATATATTACTAGCTGGCAAACCCGGCTCCGCCCGGCCCTGTCATTATTATATTCGTAATCAGCATGCTCGATTACCCCCCTGTGCCAACTCCCAGCCCCGTAGCTCAAATTTTGCAAAAAATCGATAAAATCGATATCGATCGATAACGAAAAGTAGCCTATGACACGCTCCCTGCCCCGAAGTATATGTGTGCCAAGTTTGGTCCAAATCGGTTCAGAAATAAAAATTTCTATTCCGCACATACGTACAGACATACAGACAGACATACAGACAGACATTCAGCTTTATATATAAGACTAGTTGACTTACCCGGCTCCGCCCGGCCCTGTCATTATTATATTCGTAATCAGCATGCTCGATTACCCCCTTGTGCCAACTCCCAGCCCCGTAGCTCAAATCTTGCAAAAAATCGATATCGATCGATGACGAAAAGTAGCCTATGACACCCGCCGGGGCCCGAAGTGTATGTGTGCCAAGTTTGGTCCGGATCGGTTCAGAAATGGAATTTTCTATTTGGAACATACGTACACACCACATACAGAAGACAGACAAACAGACATTCAGCTTTATATATAAGATGTGCACTAGATAACTGCGACTAGCATGGTTTCTCAAAGACGCTTGTTCACCCCATATAGAAAATATGAGCTCTGTTGTCGATGGTCTGCGTTTTGGATCTGAAATACACGGCCCCCACAAGTGAGAATCCCCAAAGAATGCATTGGACCCAGAAATTTGATAGAGACATTTTTGCGGATGGGTTTCTGCGTTAATGTGCTTCGAAAAGCCCTCAAGATTATGTCTGCTTTGAACCCGCTCCATGAGGCGTAAAGCTTCTCAGCAAGAAAGTTGGATGGCTGGGATATTTTGTTCTCATTCTGAGTAAACTTCGGTGAAGCAAAGTGATATTTTGATCAGTTCCGACTCAGCTCATCTAGTCGTGTCTGTAAGGCTGCGTCCAAAATTTGTCCGTATGGGGGCCCGTGTCAACGCCGTTTCAGTGCCGTGCTAGCACCTGGTAGCGTTGCGCCAATGAGGTCATTCAATCAACACCTGGTGCGTTCACCGGTTCCTACACGGTGCTGGAACGGCGCAAGCACGGCAACTGTGACAAAACCTGAATATTGTTTTGTTAAACGCAAATGAATAACCGCGATGAGAGCTGTGAAGCATTCGATCACCTTGTCTTCGCTTCCACAAATTTACCCGGACCGCATACTTTCCATTCAGGATGAACACTATTTTAGAAGCGGTGGCTTATACAGTGCGGGCCAAAACTATAGATCCACTATAAAAAACTGTCGTAGTTCATCTGCTTCTCAACGAGTTGATCTGAGATTTGGTACAGCTGTGTGTTCAACAGGCTTCCATCAGTGACCGGAGCGGATCCTGCTTTCATTAGATTATTTAGGGAGAAAATTAAAAATTAAAAAAAAGCAGGCTCGAAGGTTGGCCAAAACTATAGATCCACCTAAAATTTCTGTCTGCTAAAGTAATTCTCTGCTTCCAAAGTCTTTTGTGCAAGTGCATAACCGAAAGTCAAAGCAGTGGCTTTAGTTCAGCTGCGTCATACCTTTATAAGAAACGCTTATGTGCTTTTTTCACTTAAAAAATACTTTTATGCGTATTTTGTTCCCGAAAATGTGTTTTTTTAGAGGATTCCGCACTTTTTTGACTGGTTCGAGAGTGATAGGGTTCCATCTATTTTATAGATGCTTAGCAGTGTGAGCAGTAGAAAAAAATTCGAGTTTTTGCATCCAAAGCGCACCTGACATAGACCTAAGCGCAGGCCTGCGCTCGAATTTTTGCCTTCAAAATTGGCGTACGCTATTTTTGTAAGCTCAAAATAATGTAGAAGCATTATTTAGCATTATTCACATGAAAAGAAGTTTGTAAACCACCGTCATGATTGTTTGCGAAGTCGCATTTTAATTCTTTTTCAAAGCATAAGTCTTGCGGCATGTTCGGCAATCTCAAAATACTTACCAAGTGGTACCTTCCTTGAATTTTGCCACTATTTAGCTGCTAACTAGTGAATACACCATGCTGTGTATGTTGCCTTGCGCTCACATAAGCATTATGGTCACAACCAGAAATAACTTCAAGGCTTGTTACAAAACTTTTTGCAGGATGAAGTATTCAATTAGCCTGCATACTAGGATCTGCAGAAATCTGCAAGCACTGCATACGGACTCTCATACATACTAACAATGTCATTACTCCAGTTCACGCTCATAACAACAATGCAGAAAGTTTGAAGGCATAAATTTGAACGCAGGCCTGCGGTTAGGTCTATGTCGGGTGCGTTTTGGATACGAAAACCCGAATTTTTTCTCTACTGCTCACACTGCTAAGCATCTATAAGATAGATTGAGCCCTATCACTTTCAAACCAGTCAAAAAAGTGCGAAATCCTCTATAAAAAACACATTCTCGAGAACAAAATACGCATAAAAGTATTTTTCAAGTGAAAAAAGCGGATAAGCGTTTCTTATAAAGGTATGACGCAGCTGAACTAAAGCCACTGCTTTGAATTTCGGTTATGTACATGCACAAAAGACTTTGCAAGCCGAGAATCACTTTAACAGACAAAAATTCCAGGTGGATCTATAGTTTTTTGGCCAGCCCTCGAGCCTGCTTTTTTTAAAATTTTTGATTTTCTCCCTAAATAATCTAATGAAAGCAGGATCCGCTCCGGTCACTGATGGAAGCCTGTAGAACACACAACTGTACCAAATCTCAGATCAATTCGTTGAGAAGCAAATTAACTACGGCAGTTTTTTATAGTGGATCTATAGTTTTGGCCAGCACTGTATTCACAAGAGTATCTCAAGATTTAAAACGATCAGATTTTACGATTAGACAGACGAAGAGATTATGTAACGATAGAATAGACTGATTTCATCTGCTGTTCTTCAAATGGACCCTTTCCATTTCTTTAGGAGAGATTAGCAACTATATGATAGTGAAATATATGGTAAAAAATGAGCGGTCAAAGGACGATGATTTTTCAAGATCTGTCAAAAACGCGGTTAAACAAGTACAAGAAGCTTAAAGTGCTGCTTTCTATTTATTTGTAGCAAAATAAATGTAAACAGCGTATCAGTACTATAGTGCTTAACAATGCCCGATATAGAAAACGATTATGAGAACAGCTGACAAATTAATCCCCTTAAACTATTCATCAAAAAACGAAAGCTCATTCAGATTGAAAAGAATTTTATCTGATTTAATCGGAGTCAACGTATGGTACGAATTGGGCTTAGAAACGAATCGGCATCTAATGGTTATTAGATAAAATAGAGGCGGTGCACTTTGCAATCATCCAAAGAATGAATAAAAGTGCGGGTCACGAACAAATTCACCGTACTGAACATGTACTTTGAAGAGCGCATAGCATATCAGGGTGCTCCTTTCTCCTCTCTTTTCTACTCTCGCACAATAATGATGAGCTCGCTCCACAAAAAAATAGAGCTTTGCTAAGCCGCTGAATACAGAACAAGACATGGCATAAAGAAAGTACTTTGCCACTGGCGCGTTCTCAACGCGAGTGCAAGAAAAAAGTAGCAACCGATTACTTGCAAGGTTCTACAGAAAACTGAATATTTGGGGAAGCTGAAATGGATTCTATTTTTCAAGATAAGAAATCCACAAATTTCAACACATATAATACATCCATAACAATCTTTTCAATTAACGTTTCCGCCTCACAGCAAAACTATTTAGGCAGCTGACCGAAGAACAAACGCATAGAGAGAACGTGGAATCTGGAAGCTGGCTATGCGACGTAAACAAGGACAGTATGATCAAATGGAGATGATTCTTTTGCGGTAAGTAAATTTCTAAGCGGTCACGTGCAGTAACCAACACAATACTTTGCTCAATGGAGAGAGGGATATTTGCAGCACTCTCTTTACAATCTATGATCGCAGCAGAAGCGAGTGAGGAATGCAAATAGCAGAGCTCAAAAGAAATAAAGACCATAAACACATAAAGTGTAAATAACAAAACCTCAGATCGTGCGGTCAATGCTTTTGAAAAGAAACTACTATGGCCGACCATAGGGATCTCGTTTGGCAAAAAGTCTGGCGCTGCTTCGACTGAAGGCATAGTAAAAATTTGTTGGATTTGTTGTTCTGCTTGCGAATAACCATAAATATTCTGATTTGCTAAAAACTGTGGTCTATTTGAGCCGCTTCGAATTTCATGGACACTTCAATTACACTTCGCATTTCCGCTAAACGCTTTTCCAAAGGCCTGGAGAAGCTTGATCTGCGTGTAGCCGAGAGTTCAAGCACGAGCAAAGGGTTCCGAAAGAGACATTTTACGGCTCTAATAAAATCAAGATTCAAAACACTTTTGAGATGTCAGTGTTCAAAAAGGAAAACGTGAAAATCATCCTATTTACTTTCCTTATAATGACAGAGTGGATCAGAATATACTGCGAGAAAACATGCATAAAAAACGAAAACCCCGTGTACATACGAGAAACTTTTCTTGCTGGCTATTCTTAGCTCAGACCACAAAGCACTACAGCGAGAGAAAAAGGCTGCGTAAGCCCACTGCATTGTGTAAACTGCATCATCTAGTGTGGCACTCAATGAGTTCGTGGCGGCTAAAAAACTGATAATACCCACCATCTTTCTTCTCGATGACATAACATGCAGTGTAGAAATCATGGAATGTCGTAGCAAGTTGGTACAGATAGTCACATAACTACAAATACTACAAATAAAAACTGCCTCTTCCAAGCTGATACGATGAAAACGTGATACCTGGTGCAGCATCAACGAGTCCAAAACCTGCAATACGCAGTCAGCCAGCTTCAAGATTTGCTTTGCTAGGTTGAGTTCGGCAGGATGTGAGATAGGGATAGACGGCGTTCGTGAGACGTAATCAGCAATAGTAGCCGGATCGACTCCAGATGTTCGCACGATGGACCTAGAAGTGGCAGAGTTTAACGAGCAACATCAATGAGCCATCAAAGCCCACCTTATTCTAGCGTAAGCGTACAACAGATAGACGGCTGTATTGCCCTTGTCGTCAAGCATACGGTCAAACGAGAACACGTAGTCCTGCGTACGAGTATGGGACAAATCAGCATACTTGATGCACCCATAGGCGACGGCGTCACGAGCAGCAGTCAACTCAGCTTCGCTCATAACCTAAACGATGAAAAAATTGACAGTCCCGATAGCTAGAATTTTACTTTGGGTATTCTATCACTCTAAAATTCTCAAGCGCTAAGCCCATAACTTTTTACATTTCCAGAGTCGGAAATAAAAATTTTTCTGTCGCTTTTCTAAAAAATATCTGCTGAGGATGTGAATGAGATGTCGACCCTCTAAGCAGCCATTGGATTATGAAACAAATGTGAAGTTAGAATTAAGAATTAGAATGTAATTGTCAAGATACAAAATTTCTAATATACATTTTTCATATATAGATTTCTAATACAAAATTGGATGGCAGAAAAAGTTCATTCATGTCCATTTCGCATTCCCTACATCAAATACAAGGGAAAGCGACCTCTATCACCTGAAGCTCTGAAACTGAATTTTAGACTCGATGTGAACGCACACTAAATCAAAACACCTCAGCTCTTTTCTTTTCTTCCAACTTGTCTGCAGCGCGTTTGATTCCCTCATCCAATAGGTCAAGCAAACGAACCGTTTCGCCAGAACGAGTTTTGAACTTCTTTCTGTAAAAAGACCTTTTGGAATAACAGAAGAATAACTCAGTTGGAAAGAAAACGTGTGGGAAACAAAAGCTGAAACCGACCTATCTTCGCCTAGCACCAGCCCAAAAGCTACATGTTCTACGCGTTGCACAGCCTCATCATACCAACCGAGTTCACGACCAGCAGCAAATATAGTCTAAAGGCATTCTATAGGAACCGCATGAAGATCACGCACAACTCACATCAAAATGCAAACTCTGACCGGCATCTACTACATAAATCAACCAGTCTGCATGCCTCTCTTTCAGCCGATATTTCAGGGCTGCCAGATCAGAGGTATCATAGGTATAACCTAAAATAAAATTTTATAGTGGGGAGAAGGCGTGATAAAATTCGTATAGTTCGAACCTCCATCGCTCTTGACTACTGTTAAAGGCACATCACAATTTGCAGGGAAATACAAGAGGCGACCCTCCTCCTCTCGGAAATTGTCCGTGTCTAAATGAGCTGTCAGTTTAGCAATCGGACAAAAAAAGGGCATTGAACTCACGGATTTTCTTCAGTTCCTCAACCAATGTTACCATCTTTTTCTGATAAAACGACTCGCCAACATCTTCGATAACGATGTCAAGTCGATCGTACACAAGCTGGTTATCTGAACAGAAGATATAATTACAATTAAACCTAGGCATGTCTTACATTTCTTGGAGATATTGCAAATCATTGTCCAAGCGTTAACAATCTCTTCGTCGTAGCTTTGTAATCTCACAACGCAATCGTACGCACGTTTTTTGAACTCTTCGTCTTCGTCAAATCGTTTCTTAGACTCCTCAAAAACACAAGGCAATCTTTGCTGAATGATTGAGAAGCACTTACCTTATAAAAGGCTTGCAGGTCACTGATAGGAGGTGGGTTACTCATGAAGTCAGGATATTTATCGTAAAGATGTGCGATAAGCATACCGAACTGCGTACCCCAATCGCCGATATGATTGATTCTCAGAACCTAAAACATGATCTGCTCTTGAGACTCGTAATACGAAAGAGTGACGTGAAGAAAAATTGTATAACCATGAAAATGCTACAACTCACCTCGAAACCGACGGTTTCAAAAAGACGGCAAACTGAATCGCCAATGATTGTTGAACGTAAATGGCCCACATGCATTTCCTTGGCAATATTCGGTGATGAAAAGTCGACAGCGACTCTTTTTTTCAGCACTTTGGGTAGATGAACACCCTCAAGAAGTAAGCCTTGAGAAAGCAAAAATTACAAATGAGGAGCACCTTGGAAGCAATGATTCCTATTTCCTTTTCAATGAATGACTTGTTCAAAAACACATTGATGAAGCCGGCCGGAGCAACTTCGATCTAAAGCCGGGAAAATAAGGGAGCAGAGAACTACAGAAAAGTGGGACGAGAGCTTACTTTCTCAATAAGCTCACAACCAGGCACTCTTTTAGCGATCTGTTCGGCAACTTCTGAGGGTTTCATTGGTGTTCCTGCAGCCTTCAATTTCTGTAAAGACGTAGACTAAATAACTGCGAACTCATATTGAGCAGCAAACCGCAGAAAGAGCCATAGCCGAGTTGCACTGGTAGTCACCAAATTTGGCATTAGTTGCTTCTGTCAATGCTACTGCTACATCTTCTACATTGGGGAAAGCCTGAATTGAAAAGTTAGTATGACTTCAGTTAACAAAATGTGAATTGTAGAACACACCTCAGCAATCGCCTTCTTGAAGATATCGGTGAGTCTGCTCAATATGCTTGAACCATAATCTGTGATGGTGACGTAGTTGTACTTCTTCTGCTTCACCACACCGCTGCAATACCACCGATCAAACAAAACAAAAGAAAGAGTGCTACACAAATTGGTTGTTCAAAAAAGTTGTAAATAGGAATGCTAGGGTCAAAGGCTTTGCCACAGATGATATACAAAAAATACCTGGGTGTATTGTTGTCTTTCTTTCCCTTTTCCTGTTTCCCAACAACCTTCGCATTCCCATTCCCGCTTTTGCTAGTAACTCCTACCGATATTCCACTTTTCGCATTCTTTGCTAGCTGTTCTTTGAGGCTCTGCAGATAGAAGAATTGACTATGAGTTCTAAAACGCAATATCAAACGCTACACTGTGAACTGCAAAAATTCTTTCACAAAAACCAAAAAACACAAGGCTAGTAAAAAAAGTTTTCTTACCCTGTCAAGGATGGTCTTGCGATACTTTAGCTTTTCACACTGTTTATAGAGCGGAGCCAGTTCTGGGCAGACCTCAAGCACCTCCTCCGTTATCTCACCGTTCTTGAAGGCATTTGCTATGCGGGTCATGCGCGCTATCTCCACAGCCTATAAATACAAAGATTTCGAATCGGCTACACTTGAAAACAACAGAACAAAGCAATCAACAGCTTACATCCCCATTGCAGAGCTCATAGTATGACTGAAGTTCCTTCTCTGCTGCCACACCAGAACACGAAGAAGTCATGCTGGAAAACTTACTTTCCCACCATGTAAAGCGGCTTTCCTTACAACACATAGACCATCAGGAATACAGAGGACACGAGCCAAGATAGAACATGAAAAAAAAAGCATAGGACAACTTGTTTATTCCATCTCAGGTGAATAACGCAATGTAATCAACAACACAAAGGAAAACATAACAAAGCAATCTCTAAAACAGAAAATACTATACATGATGTACCGGTGCGGGCAAGCTTTGCAAGCGTTCCAGTTATCAAAACTCGACCTTCTTGATGAGAAGATAAATATTAGAGTCCAGCTCGAATCCATGAAGGTTAAACGCCTGCAATAAAGTGTTTGGTACATGACTTGTATTCATAAAACAATCCAAAATATGTACCTCTCCCTTCAGTCTCATCAAGAGTCCACCAAAAGATGCATAAGCAGCAATTCTGCTGCCATCAGATCCAGAATCGTCCCCTTCTATCCTGTACACTCTGCCAAACATCACATACTCGAACTGCGCCACCCGAGAATAGTTAGCCTGAAAAAAGTTACAAAGTTTCACTCTTTCTAGAAGGCACTTTCAAAGAAGAAATGACATGTCTATCGATGTAGACACGAGCCCCTGTACTTTCAGAAATGGTGTTCGAAACTACTCCTTCTCGCATCAGACTAGACTACTTAGCTGCTTTACACAGAAGAACAAAGAAGCACTATTCGGGACACAAAATTCTAAAGTCACATTTTGCTTGCACCGGTTCATGAATACTCGACATGCTCCGATACTCCATTCGAGAAGTTTTTTGCATGAGTACATTGATAGAATTTGCTGAAATTTCAAATAAGGCCCCGGACAGACTTCACGCGACTTAATCGTCGCGATCTAATCGCCAAGATTTCCATTCATTTTCATTTCACATTCAATTTCGGGCTGGAAAAGTATCACAACCGAATGCAAGTTGATCGGCATGGAATGATGTTGTAACAGTTGTCTCGTCGCGATTCAGTCGCGACGATCAAATCGCGTGAAGTCTGCCCGGGGCCTAAAGGAACTATCACATGAGCGACTCCATTTGTTGAAGTGTCAAGTTTTTGCGGGTTCGAAAAGAGACCTCATACCCTATCATCGGCTTCCAGATTCGTGTGGAGCTGAAGTCTTGCCAACCCACAGCGTGACGGTTTTTGTTAGCGAAAGTACGGAAAGCAATGCTATAACGTGGAGGTTTAACAAGTTTATCCTTATTATATCAGGCAAAGTCTGCAATACACCTCCACACGAATCTGGGAAACGCTCATACATCTACCATAACCCCACAAAATTACGTGTAATGAGCACCACTTCTGTGACTACAACTTCGATAACTTTACTGTTTAAGAACAGTAAAGTGTTGCTTTACCGTTTAGGCCATTCATAATTTCGACTCCCTACCGTGCATCCACCGTACAAAAAAATAATCTAAATGTTTGTCGAGTTCGAGATTTGTGAGCAGCACGTTAAACCATCCCTGTGAAAGGTAGGCAAAGCCGGTGCTTTTGGAATTTCGGGGCTTGCAGAGGCGGAGAAAACCAAGAGTTATCTGTCAACAGCGACTGCCACGTCAGTATGACACAAACCACTTAAGATAAGCAAAAATCAGCTACATGGACTTCCAAAAATTAAGGCCCTGGCTAGATCGCTCAAAAGCACCCAAAAGCGCTCAAAAGCGGCCAAAAGTGCCCAAACTTCTCTAGCCTCTCCTCACTCTCTCTCATCTCTCTTCACACGAGAATGTGAAGAGACAAGAGAAACTACGGCGCTTTTGGGCGCTCTTGAGCGAAGTCTGGCCAGGGCCTAAAGATTGTGCGTAACTACGCTGATAAAGTGCAATCATGAGATGAAATATAGGAACTCAAGAGAACTTAAGACTACTATCATAAAAATAAGCAGAGTAAATGAACACACTCCTTTTTATGTCTACCTGTGGATCATATTCTCCTTCGTCAGGCATACCATCGTCGCGTACTGATGTCGTGATCATCAACCGAAATTTGTCATTGAGACCTATGGGGTATAGTTGTGTGTTTACATCCAATATCAATTCCATGCTAAAACATTATCATAAAAAGACACATGTAAAGGAAACGAGGCTTACCTGAAAGACTCAGAATCGCAGAAAAGCCTAGAACAACGATCGAATTTCTTGCCATCTGGATCAATGTTCTTGACCATGAACATGTCGTCAAATATTACGTCTGACATGTCTCTCTGAAGAGTTACTTTATACTTACTGAAAAATGAGCAAAAGCTATTCGAAAACGCCTGGACTGTTTTTACAAAGCGACGCAACATTTAAAGATCCTGACTCAACAGATAGTCCCAACTTATGCTTTAAACACAATGCATAGCTAAAGACAATAGAAATGGCTGCTTATGAATGTTAAAGCAAATTGCTTCAGCACAGCAAAACGAGACTTTTGCCTCCGATAAACTACGGCAAAACCTCTGTTTTGCACTTTCGCAATGTCCCAACTTATGCTTTAAACACAATGCAAAGCTAAAGACAATAGAAATGGCTGCTTATGAATGTTAAAGCAAATTACTTCAGCACAGCAAAACGAGACTTGAACTGACGACACAAGGCCCTTTGTACGCAACTGCACATTTCCGCTTGTTGCAACTGCAAGACCAAAGCTTTTGAGGAAAAGGTAGACTGTCGCTTTCAGCCTGATTTTGTCATGTGCACCGGCTACCATAACAACTTAAAGCGCCATAGTTTTTAATTTTTGAATACCAAAGCAATCGCTGCGCAGTCGGAGGAATAAGCGAACAGGGAAAACGCCCTCATTCAAGTTCAGGTATCTTCGCTCACATCTCTTGCGCACTGGATTCAGGCCCAGGGTGAAGATGAGTTGGTGATTCCACGAAAATTTTTTCCAAATCTCAGAGAAAAGTACCAGTACACCTGCCAAGTCAGCAGGACCAGCACTGTTTTTTTCCACTTGGACTGCTTCAAATTTGCGGTCCAGCTCACTACCGCGCTATATAATTAGTACTATGCCAAGCCTGGCGGATCTTCACTGGAAATTTTTCCGTTCTGAACAAAAACACCTTGTCTTGAAAAGTCTGTGTTTGCGGAAGTCCATTTTCACGCGGAACTCTTCAATAAAAGTTCCATAACACGACTTTTATGGAAGGAAATCACTACGTAATATATAACGAATTCGTTGTTTACCCATTAAGCCGCTGATAGTTGGATCATGGCAAACGAGGAGGCCGCAGACGTAAAAATTATGATGAAATACACTGATCTTTGGAATTGGATTGCTGCCAAGTGGCATGCGTTTTGGAACGCTGCCAAATTTCAAAACGAGTGACCAAGCATATTTTCGTAAAAGGGTCACACGTATTTCGAAAGGCAATCATGAGCAGGGTTGAGCGTGGGGTCAGGCGCGCCCGACCTGGGAGGTCGTATTGGGGGTAAGAGCAAGGGAGGGTCGTAATCAAGAATCGAATTTGTTTAAAAAAGAGGAAATGCTACGATAGAGTAATTTGAAGAAGAAAAGCGTCAAACCGTGAATCTCACAACTCCATCAGAGGATGAGAATGACTGTCGTGAACAGCAGCTGATTGACTCGACTAACGAAGTCTCAGCCAAATTTTCCTTCTTCTATTACACGTACCGTAAAGTCACCAATGAAGATTTTTATGTAAGTTGGGTATGGTTTCCTTAATCAGCATGCCAAAATACCTCAACCAGCTCCACAAACCATTACCTATCATACTTTTTAGCGTTTGAAAAGCATGATTTCAAAACATGATTAACTTGGTCACAAAAGAGAAAGAACTCAGCTTTTTAGCATTCATAACAAAGTATCGCTCTTTATCAGTCTGCGATATAAATTAGACTTCATATCGCTTTCAAATAATGGATTGAGAAGTACTGCTAAAATGTTGGTCACCGCGTTCTCTACCTCGAGTGCTTCAACTCCACCGATCACCACAAAGCCAAAACAAGTCGAGATGAGCTCAAACACCTGCTGCAGAATCTTCGAGGTTTGTGCTAGCGAATCATATAAAACTGAGGCGGAAAAGCTTCTTCGGTGATAAAGTTAATCGGGTCAGGCGCAACACCTCAAAAGCTCAGGCCGCCTGAGCTTTTGAGGGGTTGCGCCTGACCCCATTAACTTATCTTTGAACCAATCAAAATTTTTCAGTTTTTGACTAAAACGATTAATTTATCCTCTCTCTCCCCAAGGCCAAAATTTTGTTCGATTTCATCACCTCCTGAAAAAGTTATCAGCGTTTTATTTTACTCATCCACCGAAGACGATCGTCGTTTTTGCTCAGTTATTTCGCCCTACTGTAAAACGCGTCTTGTGTTTCTGCACGGAATGCGAGCGGCAAACTCCATTTTTCGACCGTTCCGTTTTTCCGTCCCTACCTTCGGCTCTCACCAACCTGAAGTTTTTTCTCCTTCCTTTTCCTACTTTCCTTCTTTTTTGCTTCGCAGTGTTACTTCTCCATTTAAAGTGTGTCATGTCCGTGTTAGAATTGGATTAACGCGATTTTCAATAATTTCGCCCTCAAACTGCTCGCAGGAATTTTCTTCTAATCATTATCTTCTTTCGTAACATTACACCTGTACTTTCCTTTTCTGACCTGTTAGATAGAGTGATTGTTTTCATTCTTTTCCATTCTCTTCGATTCTATGACTCATGATCACAACACAGATTAAAAATGTATAGAATTCCACAAATGACCCCACAAATGCATTGAATTTTTCAAATAAAGATATGGACGATTAGTCTTTTTATTTTGATCTTTGTTGTGATCATGTTTTCGCAAGTTTTTTTCTGAAAAGGCTGTGCTTACGTTCGTACACATGTATATTGTTCTTTTCTCGGAATTCTATCTGGCCTCGGTTTACGGCTAATTTCTAGAAAAGTCTCCTGTTCGACGCTTGTTGATCATAAACTGAACGCAGTCACCTCAGATGTGCTGTTCTGAAAACTTAAGCAATGGCCTCAGTAGTCTTGCTCTCCGTACAGGTTATTATCGGTAGCGCTTCTCCTCGATCAAGCGTTAAATTAATACTCTAGATCGTATCCTTATGTGTCATACTTTAGGTGAAAGTTCCAATGAAACTCACTTCGATGACGATTGCCCATTCGCTAAGGAAGGTCCTTTGCGTTCAAGAGTTGAAGACCCAGCGTAAAGGTAAGAGTCCTCTTTTCTAGAATTCTTTTTCTTGCGGAAACATCAAGAGGTGTGCCTTAGGCTTCGGACGGAGTTCACGCGATTTTCGTCGCGATTCAATCGCCGCGATTTTCATTCATTTCCATTTTACATTCAAAAATTTCGAGCTGGAAAAGTATCACGACTGAAATGCAAGCTGGTCGGCATGCAGTGAACTCGTAATAGTTGTCTTGTAGCGATTGAATCGCGGCGATCAAATCGCGTGAACTCTGTCCGAGGCCTTACACTAAAATGGATTATTTGTGTGCAGTTGATGATGTGTTGCCGATGCATTGCCGTGATTTCCTGTTATTCTAGGATAATACCTCAACTCCACCTGTTGTCGCTGTAGCTAGTGATAACGACCCCAAAAATTATGCCTGCCGGTGAGTTCCGTTCGTTTAGCTAAGGATTTATTAGTTTATCTCTTCTCTCATACATGAAACAGTTTATTTAGGTTCCGTTGTGTTTTTGCTGATTTCTTTTTGTTTAGCGCGCTCCAAAAAGAGCTTGACAGGATGTAGATCTCCGCGAAAGGTATTGAAAGTTGGAAATAACGTGGATAACACCAATATCATCAGCGAGTTGTCCAAGCCGATCCCAGTGAGCAATGTAAGTCCTCTTTTCCTCTTTCATGCTTATAATCCGCGGTAGGTAGTCAATTTCAAAATCATACTCTCAAATTGGCTTTTTCTCAGTTATTTGCTGCGTTTTCAACCAGTCTTGTTTGCATTTTTTACGGCTGAAAGATGGTTCTGGAAGAGTAATGATTACCACTTCCGTGATGCAGTTGATGCGTTGGATCCACATCTTCGACAAGGTTCTCCTGTTGGCACAGAAGCAAGGTCAGTATCATTTATTTTTGCGAAGATGATCTACTTTCTTACTCGAAAACATTTTCTTGCACCTTTGATTTTTACATCACTTTTAAACATCTATGCTTGTATTAATGGGTCGAAGATGCACCTAAGGCCCCAGACAGACTTCACACGATTTGATCGTCGCGACTCAATCGCCGACATTTCCATTCATTTTCATTTCACATTCAAAAATTTCGGGCTGGAGTATCACAACCGAAATGCAAGTTGATCGGCATGGAATGATGTTGTAACAGTTGTCTCGTCGCGATTCAGTCGCGACGATCAAATCGCGTGAAGTCTGTCCGGGCCTAAGGGAACGGCCATAGGTTGCCGGCAACGGTTGTCGAGGTTGCTGGCGTTGCCGACGTTGCTGTTTGCCGGGGCCAGAGACGGCTTAGGCTGCGTTCATACTGATCTCGAATTCCGGAAATAGTTCCAGCACAGTGCTCGAACTAAGCGTTATGCTGGGACTGTTCCTGGACTTCGAGATCAGTATGAACGTAGCCTTATTAGAAAGCGCAGAACGTGGAGGCTATCATGTGGTCCTACAACAACCGGCAACACGGCAACCTCGGTAACCGTTGCCGACAACTTATGGCGGTTTCTTTAGGTGCATCTGCTCATCTGCATCTGCTTCTGTGTCAACAGGAGAACCTTGTCGAAGATGTGGATCTAACGCATCAACCTTCACGGAGGTAACTCTTCCAGAACCATCTTTCATTTGCGAAAAATGCAAACAAGACTTGGTTGAAAACGCAGCAAATGTTCAGTAAAAGAGCCAGTTTGAGAGTATGATTTCGAAATTGACTACACATTGCGTCCAAACTGCAGAGCACGCATCCTATGAACATATTAACAGATATCACAATGGAGAAGTGGCAGTCAAAGGCATGGAGCAGCGGAGCCTGCAGAGCAACCTCAATCTGATTTACCTCAAGCATACTAGTACTGTCAGATGCACTTCAACTTATCAGGAATGATAAATGAGCTGTAAATGTCTCAAAAGTATAAAAAACGCAAGAAGCACGAAAGTCTTTAATATGACTTTGGATTTTGGATTTTTTTGAAAATCTGTTGCACTTAATAAATATTTTACAATGTAAAAATGTACACAGAGAAGAAGGGTGCAGAGGTGGGTGCGGGGGAGGGAGAGGGAGGAGGGGGGGTCGTATTTTGGCATAACCACGGGGGGGGGTCGTATTTGGCAGCCTTGCGCCTGACCTCTTGCTCAACCCTGATCATGAGTGTCGCAATGATTTTGAGAATGGGTCGCCAACCGGGTGTGTTAATACTTGTACCTGCTTTTTTTCGAGCTTGTTATCCCAGAATGTGTCTTCCGAATATGTCGTACTTCTATTAGTTGCTTTTGAAATGATGCCAAATTGCGTAACAGCGTGACTTGAGCTAAATTCATCTAAGTTCCCAACTCTTGTAAAAATGCTCTAACTAAGAACAGTCACTTTAGGATCGTCTTGCTTCCACGTGTAGGCAAGAGAGTGCGTGAGTAACTTGGTCGTCTCGCTGGTACTTTTGGAAACGTTTATCTAATAACAGGCTTGCTTTTGCTTGTTAATGGGTACCGCTTGCGCTTTCAACTAGGAATCGGTGTGTAAACGGCACGTAGGGCAATTGCATCGGGCAGGGAAACAGATTTTTGTAAGTTTGGGGCAGTTCTCAGAATTGAAAGTCCAAAAATGGCATGTACGGCAATTTCAGAATATACGCTGTAAATACCTGATTTCGTTGTTTTTAGGGGCCGTAGATGTTTTTTCTTATATATACGGTCTTCAAGCGGCACTTAGGGCTTAAACTTTCTTTTTGAATAGTTACTATCGGTCTGTAAGCAGCACGTAGGGCAACTCGATCGGGCAGGGAAACAGATTTTTGTACGTTTGGGGCAGTCCTTATAATTTTTAAATGGTCTTCAAGCGGCACGTAGGGCATTTTGAACGGTCTTCGAGCGGCATGTAGGGCAACTTGATCGGGCAGGGGAACAGATTTTTGTACGTTCGGGACAGTTCTTATAATTTTTGAACTGTTTTCAAGCGGCACGTAGGGCAACTTGATCGGGCAGGGGAACAGATTTTTGTACGTTTGGGGCAGTCCTTATAATTTTTAAATGCTCTTCAAGCGGCACGTAGGGCAACTTGATCGGGCAGAAAAACAGATTTTTGTACGTTTGGGGCGGTCCTTATAATTTTTAAATGGTCTTCAAGCGGCATGTAGGGCATTTTGAACGGTCTTCAAGCGGCACGTAGGGCAACTTGATCGGGCAGGGGAACAGATTTTTGTATGTTCGGGACAGTTCTTATAATTTTTGAACTGTTTTCAAGCGGCACGTAGGGCAACTTGATCGGGCAGGGGAACAGATTTTTGTACGTTTGGGACAGTTCTTATAATTTTTGAACGGTTTTCAAGCGGCACGTAGGGCAACTTGATCGGGCAGAAAAACAGATTTTTGTACGTTTGGGGCGGTCCTTATAATTTTTGAACTGTTTTCAAGCGGCACGTAGGGCAACTTGATCGGGCAGGGGAACAGATTTTTGTACGTTTGGGGCAGTCCTTATAATTTTTAAATGGTCTTCAAGCGGCACGTAGGGCATTTTGAACGGTCTTCGAGCGGCACGTAGGGCAACTTGATCGGGCAGGGGAACAGATTTTTGTACGTTTGGGGCAGTCCTTATAATTTTTAAATGGTCTTCAAGCGGCACGTAGGGCAACTTGATCGGGCAGAAAAACAGATTTTTGTACGTTTGGGGCGGTCCTTATAATTTTTAAATGGTCTTCAAGCGGCATGTAGGGCATTTTGAACGGTCTTCAAGCGGCACGTAGGGCAACTTGATCGGGCAGGGGAACAGATTTTTGTATGTTCGGGACAGTTCTTATAATTTTTGAACTGTTTTCAAGCGGCACGTAGGGCATTTTGAACGGTCTTCGAGCGGCACGTAGGGCAACTTGATCGGGCAGGGGAACAGATTTTTGTACGTTTGGGGCAGTCCTTATAATTTTTAAATGGTCTTCAAGCGGCACGTAGGGCATTTTGAACGGTCTTCGAGCGGCACGTAGGGCAACTTGATCGGGCAGGGGAACAGATTTTTGTACGTTCGGGACAGTTCTTATAATTTTTGAACTGTTTTCAAGCGGCACGTAGGGCAACTTGATCGGGCAGGGGAACAGATTTTTGTACGTTTGGGGCAGTCCTTATAATTTTTAAATGGTCTTCAAGCGGCACGTAGGGCAACTTGATCGGGCAGAAAAACAGATTTTTGTACGTTTGGGGCGGTCCTTATAATTTTTAAATGGTCTTCAAGCGGCATGTAGGGCATTTTGAACGGTCTTCAAGCGGCACGTAGGGCAACTTGATCGGGCAGGGGAACAGATTTTTGTACGTTTGGGGCGGTCCTTATAATTTTTAAATGGTCTTCAAGCGGCACGTAGGGCATTTTGAACGGTCTTCGAGCGGCACGTAGGGCAACTTGATCGGGCAGGGGAACAGATTTTTGTACGTTCGGGACAGTTCTTATAATTTTTGAACTGTTTTCAAGCGGCACGTAGGGCAACTTGATCGGGCAGGGGAACAGATTTTTGTACGTTTGGGGCAGTCCTTATAATTTTTAAATGGTCTTCAAGCGGCACGTAGGGCAACTTGATCGGGCAGAAAAACAGATTTTTGTACGTTTGGGGCAGTCCTTATAATTTTTAAATGGTCTTCAAGCGGCACGTAGGGCATTTTGAACGGTCTTCGAGCGGCACGTAGGGCAACTTGATCGGGCAGGGGAACAGATTTTTGTGCGTTTGGGGCAGTCCTTATAATTTTTAAATGGTCTTCAAGCGGCACGTAGGGCATTTTGAACGGTCTTCGAGCGGCACGTAGGGCAACTTGATCGGGCAGGGGAACAGATTTTTGTACGTTCGGGACAGTTCTTATAATTTTTGAACTGTTTTCAAGCGGCACGTAGGGCATTTTGAACGGTCTTCGAGCGGCACGTAGGGCATCTTGATCGGGCAGGGGAACAGATTTTTGTACGTTTGGGGCAGTCCTTATAATTTTTAAATGGTCTTCAAGCGGCACGTAGGGCAACTTGATCGGGCAGGGGAACAGATTTTTGTGCGTTTGGGGCAGTCCTTATAATTTTTAAATGGTCTTCAAGCGGCACGTAGGGCATTTTGAACGGTCTTCGAGCGGCACGTAGGGCAACTTGATCGGGCAGGGGAACAGATTTTTGTACGTTCGGGACAGTTCTTATAATTTTTGAACTGTTTTCAAGCGGCACGTAGGGCATTTTGAACGGTCTTCGAGCGGCACGTAGGGCAACTTGATCGGGCAGGGGAACAGATTTTTGTACGTTCGGGACAGTTCTTATAATTTTTGAACTGTTTTCAAGCGGCACGTAGGGCATTTTGAACGGTCTTCGAGCGGCACGTAGGGCATCTTGATCGGGCAGGGGAACAGATTTTTGTACGTTTGGGGCAGTCCTTATAATTTTTAAATGGTCTTCAAGCGGCACGTAGGGCAACTTGATCGGGCAGGGGAACAGATTTTTGTGCGTTTGGGGCAGTCCTTATAATTTTTAAATGGTCTTCAAGCGGCACGTAGGGCATTTTGAACGGTCTTCGAGCGGCACGTAGGGCAACTTGATCGGGCAGGGGAACAGATTTTTGTACGTTCGGGACAGTTCTTATAATTTTTGAACTGTTTTCAAGCGGCACGTAGGGCAACTTGATCGGGCAGAAAAACAGATTTTTGTACGTTCGGGACAGTTCTTATAATTTTTGAACTGTTTTCAAGCGGCACGTAGGGCAACTTGATCGGGCAGGGGAACAGATTTTTGTATGTTCGGGACAGTTCTTATAATTTTTGAACTGTTTTCAAGCGGCACGTAGGGCAACTTGATCGGGCAGGGGAACAGATTTTTGTACGTTTGGGACAGTTCTTATAATTTTTGAACGGTTTTCAAGCGGCACGTAGGGCATTTTGAACGGTCTTCGAGCGGCACGTAGGGCAACTTGATCGGGCAGGGGAACAGATTTTTGTACGTTTGGGACAGTTCTTATAATTTTTGAACTGTTTTCAAGCGGCACGTAGGGCATTTTGAACGGTCTTCGAGCGGCACGTAGGGCAACTTGATCGGGCAGGGGAACAGATTTTTGTACGTTTGGGACAGTTCTTATAATTTTTGAACGGTTTTCAAGCGGCACGTAGGGCAACTTGATCGGGCAGAAAAACAGATTTTTGTACGTTTGATGCGGTCCTTATAATTTTTAAATGGTCTTCAAGCGGCATGTAGGGCATTTTGAACGGTCTTCGAGCGGCACGTAGGGCAACTTGATCGGGCAGGGGAACAGATTTTTGTACGTTTATGCAGTTCTTATGATTGACGGTCTTTAGGTGGCTCGTGTGCTTTTCGGGGAGGGATCTACTTATGTAGTAAGCTTCATATTTCTTTGGCGAAAGAAATTAGAAAATTAGAAAATTTAGAAAATTTTCTGACAAAGTTCTTAGACGATTGATTTCGTTGCTGTCGGATTGATTCTGAGAGAAAAGTGTTTTTTGTAGTACACAATTGTTGTGGATATTTCTACTTCCAAAACGATAGGTGTTCTACTTCCTTGACGATCTTCTATAGAAATTGTTGAGGTTGCAGCAGGAATTTCGAGAAATGCTGAGTGATTTTTGGAGATTATTGCTTCTTCGAACAGTTCTCCTTTTGTAGAATGCTTCGCAAAGATGTTCTCAGCAAAGGCATAGAAAACTTATTTAGAATCTTATATATAAAGCTGAATGTCTGTTTGTCTGTCTGTATGTCTGTCTGTCTGTATGTACGTATGTTCCGAATAGAAAATTCCATTTCTGAACCGATCCGGACCAAACTTGGCACACATACACTACGGGCCCCGGCGGGTGTCATAGGCTACTTTTCGTCATCGATCGATATCGATTTTATC